GCCATTACACTGGCAATCTCCTTGAGTACAAGTGAGTCCATCTTCTTTTACAAAATATATTCTGAAAAGTCATATGGATGTATACAAACTTATACATAATAAAGAGGAATATATAACAGATTAAAACTTTAGTTATACCTGACCATTAATTTAGAGTTAATCTTTGATGATACATATGCAACATTTTATATTTCTGATCTTTGACCAACCTGGGTTAAATAAACTCCTAATTGGAGATTAATGTCTTCTGGTTTGAACAACCTAATCATTATTTTCATTATTCTAATGTTATAAAGTTTATCAGAACTATGCTTCTTATTAGTAGCAGCAGCATTTTTATAAAACTATAATGACAACAGTGCAAAAATGTATATTGCAATTACACAAACTGCTTTGGGGACAAATAAGTGATGATGCCAAAACTGAATTTTTTCTGGCAGGCAGCTATAAAAATGACGGCCTGAAATATTAGGTCGTTAGCCAGTACTCACAGTCTATCTGGTGCGTAAAAATCAGTTGTGGAGTCAACATATAACTTCTTAAGGTGCCAATTTTGTGAAAGTAACATTGTACATTTTAGGGAATGCCTGAGTGATTAGTAAACCTAAATTTTGCAGTTCTATATATTTTTAGAAATCACTGTTGATACATATGAGAAAATAGTAAGGGGACCCACTAAGCAGCCTAGCTAAAGAAATTCCATTTTATAAAGAAATTCTGACTTCTGGTCAAGAGGGAGGCATAGGTAAACCTGGCTCACCTCCTCACACAATCATAGCAAAAATTACAACTAAACTACAAAACAACTATCATCCAAAATTGTTGGGAAATTGAGCTGTATGGAAGTCTGACAACCAAAAAATAAAGAAAAATTTACAGGGAATCAAGAGTGGAATGGAGGAAGCTTCAAATCCAATCAACAATTTGGAACACAAGGAAGAAAAAGAAATTCAATCAGAACCGCAACAGGAAGAACGCTGTTTTGTCTCTGTTAATTTTTCTTTATTTTACTTATTATAAACTTAATATTTGCCTGGGTGTTTTTTATGCTGTTGAAATACCCACTGAGTTCCTTGAGCATCCTAATAACCAGCATTCTGAACCCTGCATCTGATAGATTGCTTATATCCTTTTTGTTTAGTTCTTTTTCTGGGGTTTTGATCTGTTCTCTCATTCGGGCCTTGTTTCTTTGTCTCCTTGTTTTGAGAGCCTCCCTGTGTGTGTTTCTCTGTATGTATTTACAGCAAAAACCAACCAAACAAACAAACAAAAAAGGAGGGTAGTGTAAGGAGCCTTTGCAACAATTTCAAATGCACCAACATCCAAATCCAGGGGTGACAGAGGGAAAGAGGAAGAACAAGAAATTGAAAACTTATTTGAAAAAATAATGAAAAAAACTCCCCTAATTTGGTGAAGAAAATTGACATACAAGTCGAGGAAACACAGAGAGTCTCAAACAAGGTGGACCCAAAGAGGACCATACAAAGATACTTCATAATTAAAATGTCAAAGCTTAAAGATAAAGTGAGAATCTTAAAAGCAGCAGCACAAAAGCGTAGAGTTACCTACAAAGGAGTTCTCATTAGACTATGAGCTGATTTCTCAAAAGAAACTTTGCAAGCAAAAAGGGACTGGCAAGAAGTATTTAAAGTGATGAAAAGCAAGGACCTAGAACCTAGATTGCTCTTTCCAGCAAGGCTATCATTTAGAATGAAAGAGCAGATAAAGTGCTCCCCAGACAAAGGAAAGCTAAAGGATTTCATCATCATCAAGCCTTTATTACATAAAATATCAAAGAGACTTATTTAAAAAGATCTAGACTATGAACATTAAAAAGGCAACAAATTCACAAGTATCAATAATTGAATCTAACAATAACAACAACAAAAAAACCAAGCAAACAACCAGAACAGGAATAGAATCATACATATGGAGATCACTTTGAGGGTTATCGGCTAGAAGTGGGAAGGGTGAGAATGGGGGAAAAGGTGCAGGGATTAAGAACCATAACTGGTAGGTACAGGATAGGCAGGGAGATGTTAAGAGCAGTATAGGGAACAGAGTAGCCAAAGAACTTACATGCATGATCCATAGACATAAACTAAAGTGGGGAGATTGCTAGAAGGAATGTGGTGTACTGGGTGGAGGGATGCAAAAGGGGAAAAATTGGAACAACTGTAATAGCATAATCAATAAAATATATTAAAAAAGAAATTATGCTATAAAATAGTAATATTAAGGCACTTAATAATGCCTGTGTGTTCTATCATAGTTTAGCAATATGAAATCCTTATTCATTGGTTAGAAGATTGAATTGCCATATATACTACATACCTTACCAATTCTCAGTCTTTTTTAAAATTTCAACAAATATTTACTGAGCTCCTGCTTCACTAGGCATTGTGTAAATGGATAATTAGACTATAACTGACAACACCCTGGCCCTTCCCTCAAGGAGATCCTCTAGATTACTAATTTCAAAAGTTTTATACCACAAATATGCTGAAGAGAAAATCATGTTGAATCAATTTAGTCTTGGATGATTCAGAATATACTTTCAGATCTTTCGGTAATCAGGGTCATGTTATGAGCACCATTTATCATGGTATAATCAGAGCCTTGACATTCTAGTTAATAGCTTTTGATTTAGGAGTGTGCAGCTGAGAGTGTATTGCTTGTGCACTGCTCGGGCACTCGGTTTATAACCAAGAATTCAAAGCACAATGGACACTGGAAGGCAACCTCTTTCAGTTGTTTAGGGAAAAAGAAAGATATCTTTCTTCTGATATAAACAGGACACTGTCTGTTATCATTCATTCAACAGAATTTGTTGAATGGGTACTGTACAAATCTAGGTACCCACTTTGTTAAGCGACCCATCTGCTTCCACAGAAGCAAACATAGTGGTTTGTTTTATAATGGATACTCTGTTCCTCATATTAGAAAAGCTATTCTAAGAACAGAAAGTTGCCATTGATTGGGCACCTCTTTTGTCCAAGCATTAGTTTAGCATCTTACATAAATGATGCCTGATCCTTAGAACAGCATTGCGAAGTAGACTAGATGATTGCCTGTTATAGAAACAAATTCAGAGAGGTTCCATCAAGCTTCTTTCATGTCTCCTCACGATTAGTCAACAGAGTCAGAATTTGAACCCAGGCTGGTATAATTTTAAAATCTTTGTTTCCCATCTTAAAAAAAAATGAGTGTGTTGTCTCGTTTAGATTCAGCTCTACTTTCAAGAAGTGCCTCTTGTTCTAGCGAGGCTGTTATGCACAGAGGTAAGGGATTGCAACAGAAGGGGTAGGGCTCAGAAGGCTGAGGGCTCCTCTCAAAAGACCCTGTGGATATGGGAGGTGGCTGGCTGACAAAGGAAACTGGACGGTGATTGTATAAGGGAAGCGAGATGGTCTAACTGGTGGACAGTGAATTCCTTCCTCCTGGCGACACGAGTGTGTCAGAGGAGAGCAAGGCAGGAGAGTAACATTTCTTGATCTTGTGGCTTCCCCAACATCAGAACTTGAGAAGATGGCAGCTAAAGACCCCCAAGGTGACACTAAGACTGACATAGGCTAAGGACTGTGGTTAAGCTGAGGAGGCACCTGAAGAATAACTGTGATGTTCTGACAATAGACAGATGTTCTTTGCTGGTTCAAATTTTTTCCCTCAAGAGCACGGAATGTTTAAAAATTACCATGTTTGAATGTTATGGGATACATGAAAGTTCTTTTAATATAGCATTTTGAGTTAATTGAACTTTATGGAGAGAATGCTTGCCCCATTTCCAGATACTCCAGGAGTCCTGGTTTGAAAGAGGCAGGGGGACAAGCCATGTAGCAGCTTCCCGTAAGCCATACTTCATCATTACTGGTCACTAATTTACTACACATCACTAGTGTTTACTAAATGCTGAACTACACATTCCTAATACATAGTTGCTAATTACTAACATACTGTGTTTTACAAAATATGCCTTGTTCTCTTTCTCCTCTCCTTCTGAAATTCAAATTACCTATACATTAGATTGCTCTGCTGTGCCCTGCATGTCTCTTACACTTTGTTCCATCATTTTCTAACTTTTTTTCTGTCTGCACTTCAGTTTGAGTGTTCTCTCATTGACCTTTCTCTGCTGTGTCTTGACTGTGCTTAACTTCATTCACTGTTTTCCATTTCAGACACTGTATTTTTCAGTTCTAGAAAGCCCATCTAACTTTATAGATTTCAATTCTCTGCTTAACTTATCAATCTTCAAATGTTTTATCCATATTATCCTTCATTTTATTTAGCACAGTTATTATTGTCCTTTTAGGTTGTGTCTGCTAATCCCAACATTTGAATCATTTGCTAGTCTCTCTTATTGGCTATTTCTGGTCTCGATCACTCTCCTCGTGCTTCTTCACATGTCCCTCCCTGACTCTTTTAAATAATTTTATGGCAGCCTTTGTATACAAAGTACTTGTAGAGATTGAAGGCTATATTCTTTATGCCTCAGAAAGGGTCTTTCCTTTTGATTGAAAACTTGGCAGATCTTCATACCACCCCTAAAAATCTTGGCAGGTCTCCCCATCCCAAAAGACTAAGAGAGTTAATGTGTTCTCTGGCAGTTTTCAGCTGTGTTCTCCAGTCTTCAGATCTGTGATCTGGAAAATGTTTTAAATGCCTTGAGGAGATGACTTGGCCCTGTGTGTCATAAAGTCCCCCTTTTCGTGTAGTACTTTGTCTTCCAAAGATTGTTAGACAAAGAGGGATTGCAGTGTGCCTTTTAGAAGCTACTACACTGATTTGCATTCAGCAAAGGATCTCGGTGGGTGGGGCTGGGGGGTGGAGGGGATGGCCATCAGGTTTTAGAGCTCCTGAAGTTTCCAATTTGTTGTACTTTTCCTGCAACACCATCAAAAGCCTTGTTGGTTTCTCTTTCCACCTCCAGCCCAATCTTCAGTCTTTACCCACAATTTGCAAATTCCCCTAGGTAAGAAAGTGTCCGGCAATGTTCTGCTCACCTTGGAAAGACTTGCTATTCTCTGGTTTAGTTCAGTCAGTCCTTTTTGTTCCACATCTCTCCAGTGTCTTAAAAAATGTCTGTGTAAAATATATATATATGTAAAAATTACATCTATAATAATTATGTAAATATATAAACAGAATTATATATATGAAGAAATACATACACAATTGATTTTCATTGTTTGAGGTTATGTTTTATAAAGTCAGCAAAAACACTGAATTAGCAAATACTGAATAATTACCCCTGGGGAGACTATAGGCTTAGGTTATTTAATATATATTGTTGATTCATTAACACTGTGCTCATGGAACAAAGCTTATCTAATACGACTATTTTTTCCACAAGGCCCATCATAGCCTTCTTACACGTAGGAACACTAACGGCAACCCAGCACTATTCTTTAGGGCCATTTTAAACAGCAAAATCACCCAACAAAAGGACCAAATATGAAAAACATGGCATGAAATAGACCATGAGGAGGATGCTCATTTATTTCTGAGAGCTGAAACAAGCAGAACATTTCTTTGTTTGACCTCAGCTGGGAATGCGCACCTCAGGTGACTTACCTTTTCTGCCCCTTTGTGCATGTGCATGTCACAGCTGGGACCACAAGGGCACTGTGAGCTTTGATTGGAGCATTAAACAATACATCTTAGTGGATAGGTGAATCTCATATAAGGAATCTGTAAATAATGAGGGTCAACTTATATTTTTATACATGTATAGTATACATGTAATATATATAATTATATTTATATACATAATATAATATGTTGGATACATAAATATATATTTTAAATTATATTTATATGTTATATATGTTTTAAAATCTATTAAGTTATATATGTCTGTATATTTATACTTTCCCCAAATTATCTGGCTTGTGGCACTTTTATCGTGGGAATGGTGTTCTGTTACTTCCTACTCCATTCTACTTGGAAACAGAAGCCCTCAATTACCATTTAAACATATTTTTAAAGTTTCCTCATGGTATTATTTTCTGCTAAAAACATTTATTGCTAAAGCTTTTAGGAACTAGCTACAAGATATAGATTTGGCCACAGCCACAGGCAGATAACAACTTATGATACTTGGAATTATTTCTTCTGATTGTGAGCATCACCTCACCTGTCCTGTTCCACTGGGATTCCGTTAAGTTTTATCTTTTTAGTGGTCTACTTTGAATGAGGCTGGCACTATCTCCATGGCCGTTGGTCGACAGGTATCAAAATGGATAATGTCAGCATGAATCTTCCTGTAATTTGCAAAAACACTCCATAGTGGCTGTTGGGGAATTTCTTATAAAATAGTGATCTCCCAACTAGATTATAAATCACTCCTAGATGGGAGAGCCCCTCCCCCTGCGGGAGCAGAGTGAAGGCCCTCACATCTGGCTCACTGAAGAGAATGGAGAGCAAGGCCCCGGGAAGAAGAGAAACAAATGGAAGAAAGAACAACCTGGGAGTATCGAGGAGTGTCGAAGGGCCTGGCGTGGGCCAGTGACGAGCTGGAGAAGGAATCTTTTAAAGTTTTCTGAATTAGTCTTCATTTCAACGCTACCAGCTTTTTATATGTCCCTGGATCTTTATAGGTTTTCAGAGAAGAGCAGCAATGGGGGTAAATTTAAGGGAAAACAGAGCCCCTTTTGTTCAAGTCGCAGATAAGCAGAGTAAGAGAGGTCCTCACTGGGAGAAGGTGAGAAGTGGCTCTTGAGCACAGAGTTGAAGGAGGGTCCCCAAGCAGATGGGATCTCAGGGAAGAGTTCATTACAAGGCCACTGCCAAGGATCCTGCAGGCCTAAGGACAAAAACTTTTTTTTCTTCCCTGTGACATTAGCAGTGGCCTTGAAAGAAGCCCCTCCCAGAGATGAAGGCCTACATGCTCAGTCCCACATATGAGCTCTAGTAGTCATGCTTTTTAAGCCCGCTTCCTGTTAAATCCTCTTTACTTGGTCCTATAGCAAAGTGTGAAGAGTTGAACCATCCAGCGGGTCTTATTCTTAATTCCCTTTTCTCATTCAGCCTTGCTGACCAGGAACTCAGGGAACAGTTAACTGCGTTCCCTCTCCCTACATAAAGTTACCTAGGAGTGCTCCGACCAGGTATTTCTCTTCTACCATGAAGGAGGCAAATGCTGCCCCACTGAAACTCTGGCCTGAATTTTCCCTTTTCATGTATCCTTATAAGGCAGAGCAGACAGGGGAGGAGAATCATTTCAAGATGATGAAATGGCTACAAGCCCACAGCTAGAGGGAAAAAGATTTTCCCTTAATCAGATGAAAAAACAATAACATTCTATCATAATATATGTAATCTGTTTATAAACACTGAAAATTAATATATATGTATATGTGTATATACATACATATACATATATACACGCACACATGATTTGTGAGAGCAAGAGCACACAGGGCCTCTTTAAATATGCTTGATATCCTGGAACCTGCAGTGTGGACTTCCTCGGGAAGAAAATAAAGGTCTGTAGATACGCCCCAAAGAGTACTGGTGTTTTGTACTTCTAGGCAGTTGCTGGTATGTAAATTCCATAGTGTCATTTAGAAATGTTGTGGTTGTTCTGAAAAGACAGTGAACCCATGGTATAATAGATCAGGCAGTGGTGGTCAAAAAATATTCACTATGCCAAAGAAATGAAAACAGGTGCAAACATAAAATTTGTACATTAATTTTCAAGCAATATTACTCAAAATAGCCAGAGTGGAAACAATTAAATGCCCATCAACTGATGAATGGATAGACAAAGGTGGTATATCCATATAATAGAATATTATTCAGCCATCAAAAGGAATGGACTACTGATGCATGCTACAATGTGGATGAACTTTGAAAATATGCTAAGTGAAAGAAGGTAGCCACAAAAGACCATATATTGTGTGATTGTGTTTGTATGAAATGTCCAGAATAGACACAGCCACAGGTACAGAAAATAGGCCTCTAGGTGCCAGGAGCTGGGGTAAGGTTTGCAGTAACTACTAATGGGTAAAAGGTTTCTTTCTGGGACAACGAAACATTCCAAACTTGATTGCGGTACAGTCACCGCAATCTCTGTGAATATACTAAAAAACATTGAATTATGTAATTTTACTTGGTATTGTATGGCAGATACAAAAAAATCTATTAATGAAACAAACAAAAAAGAAATATCTTACATGCCCATGAAGGAATGATAGCAAGGCATAAAATTTGGGAATCTTGAATGTGAAATGATCTTAGAAGCCATATCCTCTGAACTTCTATAAAACTGAGTGCCACTCAAGAAAATCACAGGCTTGTACAGACTGAGGCTAGAAGTTTCAGTCTCATTTTGGGCCCTCAATGCCATCTATTAATTATTTAATCTTTCTTTCACTTTGCCTTCAGTTATACTAATCCTTTATGACAGTCTCCATAAAACACCCACGCAATCTTCCTTCTCCATACTCTGAGCCATTTCTTGCTTACCTCAGTGAAAAACATGTTGTCACTAGTCATATTTATCTTACTGACCAGTCCTTACTCTGTCTATAGCCCTAGGCATTTCCTCTCATCTCTGTGAGAGAATCCCTTCCATTGAAGATCAAAGACCTCCCACCTCTACTGGTCTCCTGTCCCTCCACATCTCCTCACTTCCCCTACCACCTCATACCCTAGACATTTCGAACCATTTGGTTCCCTGATAACCATGCTGTTCCTACCCTCACGCCTTTTGCAGGCACAACTCCCTGCCCCTTATCTTGAATGCCCTCCTCGTGGACCACCACTTATCGAACAGCAGGATCCACACAGTCTAACAAACCTACTTATCCCCCAGCTGTGCTCATGCATCACTTTCTCCCTAAAATCTTCTCTGGTTTTATTTCTAGTCTCTTCCCACTCCTACCATAGCATCGATTTCTCTCTCTCTACTTGTTAGAATTTGGCACATATTCCTTTGATTGCACAAATTATACCAAATTGTTTTTATTGGTTTGTTTACATGGCAGGTCTCCTTACATTTTGAGTTCTTCGATGGAGAAAGCGTTTCTCCCTCTCTGTGTCTCTCAGCATCTACATGACTGTTGCACAAGATGCTTGTTGAAACAGTCACAGGAATCTTCATGACATCACGCTAATTGATGGTTATTTCATCCTAACTTAAACGTTTTCAGTTACAGGGCACTCACTCTTTTTTGAGGCAACCCAAACCATGTTCAGATCATTGTAGTAATTAGGAAAGTCTTTCTTTCATTGAACCCAAATAGTCTTCCTTTTAATGTTCATTCATTGATTGTCTCTGCCTTGTAGAACATACAGATCAATCTGTTCCCTCTTTAATACAGCAGCATGGATACCCAACATTTCCAAATACCTTTCTTCTCCTTTGATCACACATCAAGTAAAGACATTTTTCTTCTTCAGGCAAGATATCCCCACTTCCTTAATGTGCTCTGTTAGCCTCTGGACCCCCCATGGTCCTACTTTATCTCTGTGGGATGCTTTCAAGTTGGTCAGTTTCCTTATCGAAATGGCTCCCAGAACTGGTGTCTGTCCCCAGAAGTGGTCTAAAGAGAGAGAAGCGAGAAGACTAGAGGTTCATTCTATCAGGAACTATGTTGCTGTTTATTCAACCTAGGCCTTTTGTGAACCATGTCATACCAATGTAGCGAACTGAAACTTCCAAGCTTTTTCTGATGAGTTGGGATATAGTCCATCTCTCCTTCTAATGCCAAGTTTATTGTTCAAGAATTTACCCAGAGTGTTGATATGGTTAAGTGAGACTAGTGAAGCTCCCATTAAAGCACTGGTTGGGAAGGAATAACTCAGAGAAGAAAGCAAAGGAGAAGGAATGAGGGTGCTGATGTTTTTACAAGCACTTTTTCATTGCACTGACACCTCATTACACAGTATATTTCTCTGCAGGCAGGGATCACAGCTGTGTGACTCACCACTGTCCACCTGCTCCTAGGACAGTGCCTGGCACATAATAGGCACTCAGTAAGCATTTATGGATGAGTAGATACAATCCATGGAGTGTTTCATGTACAGGCCACAAGGATGTGGTAACCTGGCAGTATACTATGCACGACAGGAAAAAAAAAGAGAATCTCTTTGTTAGCATGTGTTGTGCTAGATGTGTATAGATTCAAAACAGAGGTGTTTGGTTATAGTGATGATTTTTATACTATCCCCTGAGAACAGCTTGTCAGGGATTGCAGGGGGATGGAGTAAGCTAGGTCTCACCCCTCCCACCATGGACCAAGCACAGCTCTACTTTTAGCTGTTTTGTATACTGGATTTTCATACAAATTTTCTTTTGAATACATGATTCCTTGGCTTATAATCATGTTATCATTACTAAGTTTTGAAGTTGATTCAAGAAGAGATTAAGATTTAGGTTAAAATTATGGTGAAAAGTCACAATGTCCATCTGTGCCACATCTGAGCGTGTGCTGTCTGTACACTCTGCATACGGGGACTAAGTCAGTGCTTTATAGGCAGCCAGGGCCCCCTGCCAAGGGAACCACAGCAGGGACGAGGAGTAAGCTAGTGTTTTCTGAGCTCTACTATGAGACTTCTGGGCGGGTCTACCTGACACTCTCTTCTAGAAAGATAGCTTCATCTCCATAAAAAGTTCTCACTCCTCGG